GTATATCCCGTGGTCAGCAGCCATTCGAAAGGACATTTTCACATGAAACTTGCTGCTTGCCATTCCGTTCACTTCCTGCCTTGCGCGTTTCACCGAGCTTGGACTATTTAAACAACACAGCATTGCTTTCCCTCGCAGATCAGCCTTGAACGTCGAGAAACAGAGATGATGCACTTTTTATTCGGTGAGTTGTGAAATATTTTTTTCTTTTCAAAATCCTCTATCAAATGCTACATATATAATAAATAAATTCCCGTTTTACAGAGATGGGAATCTAGATAGATAAATGAATGAACAAAACTTCCAAAATATATTCTAGTGTTCGTGGCAGCATCAGCTGCAGCCCAGCAGTTCCCGGATGTGTCCGTGCGACTCGCCGGCGATGGCTTCTTCCGCCGAGGAACAGCCGCCCTCTCGACCTCGCCCTCGCTGGAGGATTTCAGCCGAGGACCAGCTTCCCGGCCGACGGCGGGCTGCAGGCCAGTCCCGGCGCCTCAGGAGGCAGCAGACCTGGCTCGCCCAGCGGCACCAGCGCCTCTGGCGCCACGGGGGCTTGGCCTCGTCCAGCGGCAGCAGGTTTCGCTCTGCCATCGGAGGCGGACGTCGGCCCGACGAAGGCGACGCCGACGAAGCCGTGGACGGCGTGTTCGAGCCCCTGAACCTCCCGGCCTCGGCCTCCAGCCTGCTGGGGACCGTCTCGACCGCCTTCTCCTGCGACGACCTCCCCTACGGCTACTACGCCGACCGCGACAACGCCTGCCGCGTCTACCACGTGTGCTACCCGGCGCTCTTCGCCGACGGCGCCAGCGTCACGTACCAGTACAGGTGAGGCGCCGCCGGGAGGCTCAGGCGGTCGGGCGGATGCAGAAGCCTGATAAAGGACAGAATGTAAACGTTATTCGCACAGTGTGTTATGCTTTTTGTGTATCTGTGTGCTTGTGTATATACTACACACACACACACACACACACACACACACACACACACACACACACACACACACACACACACACACACGCACACACACACTTCCATATCTTTTTATCTAACAGTATCTTCTCCGCAGCTTCATGTGTGGCGCGGAGACGGTGTTCGACCAGAGGGAGCTAACCTGCGTGGATCCCTCAGTGGCGAGTCCTTGCGAGGAATCCTACAACTATTACTTCACCAACGAGCAGTTCGGTCTCCCTGAGGAAAAGATACAATTTATATAGAGATGTATAGAAATTGCCTGTTGTTGTTACGTACAATCGCGGTTGAACTGTTGAGTCCCTGATGTGAAGCTTCGAAACACTGTATTGAAGATTCACTGGACTTAGGTCGAAGCTTCGAAACACAGTATCGAAGTCAGCATACCATACTGAAGCTTAGATACTTCAAAATGAACCCTAAAACTACCACATCCAAGCCTGAAATCACGAAATTAAACCCGGAAACATGGTAATGAAATTTCGAAACACTAGATTGAAACCTAGACACACTACACTGAATCTTTAAGCAAACAAATAAATAAAATACAGAATTGGACCTCAACACACCATTTTGAAACATTATAGCACCATACTGAAGCCTTGGAGTATTATGGGTTGCATTAGTTGATGATTCGAGACGAGTTTCATATCGTGTTGACAACAGTCCGGACCGTGAGTGTACAAGATTTTTTGTTTATATCTTATCTTTTGTAAATAAATTTGCCCTGATGTGTTGATTTTACGCAAATATGTTAATACATCCCTTTTATCTTTCATGAAAAGTGCCAGGGAGAATCATAGAATGAAAAAGGATTTACAGTCTTTTCATTACAAGGAATGATTGTAACTACTGCTATTTCATGTAAAAACTTACAAGTGAATATAATCGTAAGCATGATAGTAATATTAATAGTTGATTATTTTTTGATAGATAAAAACATAAAGTATTAATGGCAATGACATTAATGATAACAATACAGAAATTAGAAATATTGTAAATTAATTAATGTAATATTGTTATAGTTACAATCATGGCTACTGATTATTTATTATGGCTATAACAATGATCATATAACCATTCATTGTTATAATAATCATATAAAGGATAACAACACAGAAATAAATAAACTGATAATTCATTCATCAAAAACAGTAATGAAAGTAACAAAGGTACAAGTGTAAAATAGACAATGAAAAGTAAAATGATAACGCTAAAGATGAAAATGATAACTAATAGCCTTTAATTCAAAATATTAATAGTGGCAATGATACTGATCATAAATGTGATAAGAATGGGAATATATATTGCTACTACTAACCATAATCAGTGTCATTAGTTTCCATTATTATTATCATTGTTATCATATTGTATTTTTCAGCATATCATTAATGGTAATACCATTTATCTAGCCTTATCATTAGCATTCTAAGCTTAAATGAACAAATACTGTTCTCATTGTTTTTTTTTTATTATCATAAGGGAATTATTATTCGGTCAACATCGAGCACCTCATACTAGTATTTTTATTTTTTTTATTTATTCATTGTTATTATTTTATGTAAAAATGTGCTTTAAAATCGATCGTAAATGCAATCACTGGTCCTTTACAATCTTCCTTTTACGAGTCCAGACCTAAATGCACCCAGCACCTATCGCATTGACTCCCAAGGTGAAAGGTCACACTTCGAGTCGACCCGAGTTGGAAGGGCATCTAGACAGGAAAGAAAAGCAGGGAAAAAAATCTAGAATGTCTTACAAAGGCACCGCTTTGACCCTGAATTTTTGGACTCCAGGCTTACGACAGGACCAGTCCATGTGCATGACATTCAAGGAGTCACCGTATTTTTCTCTAGTAGTATAAGGAAGAAAAGATCATTGTCAGGATGCTCTGTTTCGTTAGACAGAGTGTTCCATGTAAAGGTTTGATTTATTTTGATAGATGACAACAATTGACAAACACTAGATATTAGCGGCGTACAAGTAATATACCTTAAATCATTTTTGTCATTTTCCCTCAGATCTCAGAACCAGATATGAGTCGAAAACAGAAAGCTGTCGCGGCCTTTGAATACTGATTATATTTGGCAGAAACACCATTTTTTACATTTAACGTACGACTTCATAGGCGCAGGAAAAGAGGGACAGGACAAAACTTCTGCCCCCTCCTCAACTTTCGAGGACATTCTCTGTAAACAAACAGTGTATAGATGTGATTATTATATTACAGTGTATGTGTACCATCTATGCCTATGTTAATATAACTTATTTTACTTGTAAGCCCTGCATTCTACTGTCCAGTCTTAGAGTCACGGTCCCTCAGACATTCCATGCAGGCACCAACCCCTCAGCCAATCAGAGAGAGAGACAGCTGATCCCAAGGATATCCCGAGTTGCCTTTATTTTGTCCTGGCGCCTACGTATTTTGTACTTTGAAGCGTGTGGTGACTTCTTTCATTAAGGCTCACTTGTTATACGAGTTTCAAGAACCTACGGATAAAAGAACCCAGAAGACAGTGCAGTTTCTTAGTTACCCAGTTGTTGAGAACACTGAACCTTGCAACTGAGAGGATAGCTACAGCTGAGTCTGGTGCTCAAAATTGAATAAGCATTATGTCAAATATTAACTGAATAGAAATATGCAGAAATTAATGAAGTTAATGAGTTTGAAGGTCCCATATATTAGCTAAAAGACGCATAAAGCATATGATATTGGACTAAACTACTGCATTTTTGGCATGTAGGAATATTAAAGTTGCTTTGCATCTTACGAAATCTGTCACTATAGAGACTAGTTTATTAATCTAGCCACTTTTATGGATATAAGTGGTATGTTAATTTTTTTTTCCATCTAAGAGAATCGAATGAAAATAGGTAAACAAGATATTTCTTTTTCAAATTATATAGGCCTATATCTAAAGCTGTACTGTATATGTATCGAGCATTGTATTTATGTGTATATTCGTATATGCATACATATACGTCTTATTCAAATATTTCCATAAATTCTAATTATAATCCTATATAATCATGTACTAATGCACCATGAAGTAGAACAGTTTCGTTCCAGTATGATATTATTATTATTATTGTTATTTATTGTCCAAGTCTCAGCATTGGAATACTTCTTTATCCATTGTAAACAGTAAGTAGCTATTACTGTTTCGGGCAATGAGAAGTATGAGCATATGTTTATCGTATATGCATACATATATGTGTTATCCAAATATTTCCATAAATTCTAGTTATAATCCTACGTAAGCATGTATTAATGCACCATGAAGTAGAACAGTTTCGTTCCAGCATGATTTTATTATTGTAAACACTTTATTTTATCACGAAATAGCTATTACTGTTTCGGGCAATGAAATGCAGAAGCATATGTGGGGTAGACTAGCCCTTGCTCAAAGAACTGACCTTAATTCAGTTTTTTAACAAAATGACAATAGCTTTAGAATGTCACTTGTATTCTGGTTGGCCTAACCTCCTTTACGATGCGGTAAATAATGCAGACGACAGTGATCCAAAAGCAAATTGCATATTGATTTTCCTTTTCGATACTAGTAAAGCCTTTTATGGATACTGCAATTTATAATGCATCTTTGTCTTCTTTTTGACATCTGTTTTATTCTTGTTTTGCTTCTGTAATGAGTCCTGGAATAGGATAGCTTATATATCTGAGATTTGCCTGTTCATTTGAATAACAACACTTGTGGTAGGCCGATATACCAAAGTGCCTAATCAACCATATAATTCTTTAATATGGGTATGTTTAACTTGTTTAACATTTACCATATATATCATTCATTAGAAACAAAGAAAAATGAGTCCATTGTATGTATTTATGTATGAGGTTTAGCTCGTTAGTCAATGTCTTTATTCAATTTATATTTGTGAGAATGGTACTGATATTGTCGATTATATATGTGAATTTCAGTTACACTAGCCTGATCTAAGTGATCTACAAATCCCAACTGATAGTTCCATGAATAGTTGAATCATGTTTGATATGGACATCACTGAGAGAAAAATTGTAATACTTAAACTTTATTTAATATCATATAAATATACATTCGTTGTGTCGGCAGAAAAGTCGTCTTCTTCAGCAGACTTATTGCGATTTTTCTTCAGGGCGACCGAACTGCTCGTTTGTGTAGTAGTAACTAGAGGATTCCTGGCATGGGACAGCATCAGACTGGACCTTGCAGGTAAGTTCCTTTTGGTCGAATACAGAACCCTCACCGCACAGGAAGCTGGAGAACAAATAGGGCATTTTATATTACTTTGGATTGTCTTAAAATTCAGCTTCTGAAAATCAGACTTTAGTAAAAAGAGTAACCAATCATGTATTCATAGCTTAACAGATGATGTGTAAAATCTCAAAATAATACTTCAGATCATAATCTTATATAAAAAATAAAATTGATTATATATCTATCTATATATATATATATATATATATATATATATATATATATCCACTATGCAATATTATAGAACATACCTGTACTGATAGGTTTCGATAGCACCAGTGGAGAAACGAGCTGGGTAACAGATGTGGAAAACACGGCACGAGTTCTCCTCATCAGCGTAATATCCATAGGGACGGTCAGTGCAGGAGAAGGAGGTTGAGACTCTTCCCAGTAGTTGAGAGGCTCAGCGGGAGATTCAGAGGCTCAAACACTCCATCAGCTGGCAGAGGGTCAATTTGGAATCCACTTCCGAAAGAGGAACCAGTCTGCGATCCACTGAGGAATGAGGAACCTGAGCCAAATCCACTTGAACTTGATCCAAAACCAGAACCGGATGAACCAGACTGGAATGCACCACCAAGGGAAGAACCTGATCCAAATCCTGCACCAGATGAACCAGACTGGAATCCGCTACCAAATGAAGAACCGGAACCAAATCCAGATCCGGATGAGAAACCAGACTGGGATCCAGAACCTGAACCAAATCCAGAACCAGATGGGGTACTGGATTGGAATCCACTACCAAGGGAAGAGCCAGAACCAAATCCAGATCCAGATGAGAAGCCAGACTGGGATCCAGAACCTGAACCGAATGGGGAACTAGATAGAGAACTGGACTGGAATCCACTGCCAAGGGAAGAAGTGGAGCCAATTCCAGAACCAGATGATGAACCAGACTGGAATCCACTACCAGATCCCCCAACCAGATGAGAACCAGACTCCTTGAGAACCAGATAGAGAACTGGGCTGAATCCGCTGCTAAGGAAGAAGTGAGCCAATTCCAGAACCAGATGATGAACCAGACTGGAATCCACTACCAGATCCAGATGAGAAACCAGACTGGGATCCAGAAAAAATCCAGAACCAGATGATGAACCAGACTGGAATCCACTACCAGATCCAGATGAGAAACCAGACTGGGATCCAGAACTTGAACCAAATCCAGAACCAGACAGAGAACTGGGCTGGAATCCACTGCCAAAGGAGGAAGTGGAGCCAATACCAGAACCAGATGATGATCCAAATGTAGAACCAGACTGTGATCCACTGCTAAGGGAAGAAATTGAACTAACTCCAGAACCAGATGAGCCAGACTGGAATCCACCACTGAGTGAAGAACTTGATCCAAATCCACTGCTGCTTCCACTGGAGGATCCAAATCCAGATCCAGTGCTACCAAGTGAACCTGATTGGAATTGCCCACCAGAGCTGGATCCAAATCCACCACTGCCTGATTGGAACTGTCCACTGGAAGAACCGGAACTAACTCCACTGCTAAGGGAGGAACCAGACCCAAGACCGCTGGATGAACTTAGTTGGAACTGACCGGTGGAAGAGCCAGAGCCAAATCCACTGCTGAGGGAAGAACCAATCCACTGCTAAAGGAAGAACCAGAACCAAAATCACTACCACTTGATCCTGACTGGAACTGACCAGTAGAAGAGCCAGATCCAAATCCACTGCTGAGGGAAGAGCCAGATCCACTGTTGAAGGAGCCAGACCCAGATCCGCTGCTGAAGGAAGAATCAGACCCAAATCCACTGCCACTTGATGAGCCTGATTGGAACTGACTGCTGGAACTGCCAGATCCAAATCCACTGCTGAGGGAAGAGCCAGATCCAAATCCACTGCTGAGGGAAGAGCCAGAAATCCACTGCTGAGGGAAGAGCCAGATCCAAATCCACTGCTGAGGGAAGAGCCAGATCCACTGTTGAAGGAGCCAGACCCAGATCCGCTGCTGAAGGAAGAACCAGATCCAAATCCACTGCCACTAGATGAGCCTGATTGGAACTGACTGCTGGAAGAGCCAGATCCAAATCCACTGCTGAGGGAAGAGCCAGATCCAAATCCACTGATGAGCCTGATTGGGAGTAGCCAGATCCAAATCCACTGCTGAGGGAAGAGCCAGATCCAATTGTGCTGCCACCTGTGGAGAAGGTACCTGGTCCAGCAAGTTTTACAGTGTTACTGCCAAATGTACTGGACTGGAAATTGCCGCTATTTCCAGAAGAAGTCTGAGAACCAGACTGAATTCCACTGCCAAAAGAAGAACCAAACTGTGCTCCAGATCCCCTTGAACCAAATCCAAACCCATTGCTCCCGGATGACCCTGCTGAACTGAACTGGGAACCACTTCCAAAAGAACTAGACCCAAATCGGTTACCACTCAGTGAGCTTGTTCCAAAGCCAGTGCCAGATGAGCCTGATGAGAACCTTCCACTAGATGAACCAGATCCAAAGCCGCTGCTACCTGCTGAGCCAGACTGGAGTTGGCCGTTGCCAGCAGAAGAGCTTGATGAGAACCCGGACCCAAATCCAGAGCCTGACTGGAAGCGTCCACTGGAACCCACGCCATTGCCAGCAGGTGTAAAGAAACTGCTGCTTGCGATGTTACCCGATGACAAACTGGATTG